GAAGTGAGAGTGGAAAAGATGAGAAAATAAATAGTAATTGGGAAAGAAGTTAGAAAGGGTTTTAAATTAGTTATTAAAAGGGAGAAATTGAAGAGTTTTGAAAGTATAATAAGTAATCAATTATGAATGGGCTTATGTCTTTTGAATCTTTTAAACTATATATTAAAGGTAATATAATAACATAATTTTTGAAAAGATCGAAAGCACCCAGATATCTTCTTATCCATTCTTTAGTTTCTGCTCAATTCAGTCATCAAAGTTTTCAAACAAATGAAGAGAAGCCAAGTAATATTAGGCTAGGACTTATATTAATACTCTACAAAGCAGGAAATTCGTCTCACGGCAGAGCATTTACTAACACAACTACAAAAAACCATGCACATATTTAGTGACGCTTTTGTGTTGGTTTGCGGCTGTGCACTGAGAGAAAGATAAACTTTTTTTCGCTAACCAATTCATCACTCATTTTACTCACTCGCCAAATGCGAAAAAAAAATTAAAAATGCAAAGAGAAGTTACAAAGAATGAATTCCAGTGCAAGTGTCCGAGGATGAGCGTGGCAGAAAAAAGAACAGTTAGCGAAGGAATGAGGCGGAGAGAGGAAAACGAAAAAGTGTTGGTGAAATAGCAAGGAGTTCGAGGATGATAGAGGAACAAACAAAAACAAAATATATTACAATTGGCAACGAAATGAGACGGAAAGAGGAACAAGAAAAATGGAACAGCGCCGCCAGCGCTCAAAGCTTATCGGCTGGGAAGTTGATATGGAGGGAGCATTTACGAAAACAAATGAGAACTCAGAGCATGGACGTTGATTATATATTTTAAACAATCTAAATTAAACTAATTTCATAGATCTTTTGTACTATATTTTCCCCACTATTCTGTCACCAGCTGTCTATTTATTTAGACGCCATCCTTGTGGCAATTAAAGTGGCCATTGTTCACCCTCTGCCATTCCTCATTTTGATTTATTTTAGCTTAGCCGTTTCGTTTCGGCCATTTGTGGTCGTGTGGCAAATGCAGTCACATTCTTTTAAATACCAATTGGGGGTCAGTTAGACCGTTGTTGGTCAAGACTCAGGAATTTGAGCAAGTGCTTTGTTATTTTGTTATTGCTGCCAGCTAGCCTGGCAAACGGGTTTAAATGCGGAGAGTGGAACTTGGCCAGCTCGCCGCTGCTCTGGCTTAATAAATTAATTTATAACTCTTGCTTTTTTCCCCACCGCGAAACACGTTGACCTTCAGGCCGCATAACCGATCCATGAGTCTGTCTGTTAAAACACCGACTTATAATATATATATATATATATATTTGCTATATATGCTTATATATCTGTCAGTTGAATTAACAGTTACGTCTCAAGTGCTGCCAAAAGGCCCCAGAGGCTGTGCTTCAAGGGTGGGAATCTGATTTCCAGATGGAAAGTCTGGCCATTGAGTATGATTTTAAATTGGCCAAGAGGTGGCCCTTAAGAGCCACTGCATTTATTTATTTTCTATTGTTTAAAGTGTTTTTAATAAAGATTAGATAATATATTTTATAAAAACAAAAATTATTATTAAAAATAAAAATATATAAGCTTTAATGGTGAAGAAGGAAGTTGATTTCTTTTCATTTCAAAGACAACTTTAAGCTTCTTAAGAACTATAAAAATGTATAAATAAATGCACGTTGAGAGCCTTTAATCACTAGAAATCTTCATAAATAATAAAGAAATATCATAGTAAAGTACAGTAGTACCCGCTACAAAGTACCATCCACAAATCCACAACAAAAGACAAACCAAAATCAGAGCTTAAAGGGCGGTTGCAAAACGTTGAAAGTTGCAACCGAATTCGGTGTGATATCTGGACTCGGATATCAAAGAGACCACCCGACCCACCCCCTGGGCTGTCGGTGTGTTAATGATTTGCATGTTCCCAAATCAAAGCCGAAGTAGACACCCCCCCTGCCACCGTATTAACCCCCTAGCGCCCACCACAATTCGCAGACATGGCTGGTTAGCTATGTTGTTGTTGTTGTTGTTGTCGCTGTCGTTGTCATGGAATTGAATCATCCCGGCGGTCTCTGGAGCATGTCTCTGCTCTTAACCCGCGCTTCCCTCCCCTTTAGCTGACTTAACCCTCTGATGCCCCGATGGCGTCTACGTAACGAGTAAAGGCAGCTAAAACAAAAAAAAAAAAAATGGCAAATTTTGCAATGAAACTGAAGGCAGATCCCGCGATGCACGTGTATCTGTGCATCTGACAGATACAATTACCAAAAGCGATTGCACTGGGAATGCTGGAATTTCAGGCCAATGCGGTTTAATAGCCCAAAAACCGGTAACTTAATGACACTCTTCTATAATGCTTTTTGAATAAAATGCCAAAACGCATCACACACACCCCCCTCCCACCCGCAGCTCGACAATTTCAATATATATATACATTCACTTTTTACCTCTCCGCTCGCTCATCGGGTTTCACTTTCAGCCGGCTGCGAATTCCGATTTGCCAATCTGGAAACCTTTCCACGACTTCAAGGCGGATGTGCCACCTCCGGGGTCAGATTATACGTACATATCTATACGAGATCAGCATCTTCGGGATGTATAATTTCAATATGTTTGCCGGCTTATGCCTTGGCATAAAACAAATTACATCGCATAATTGGCCTTTGCAGAGCTCTTCATTACTTAATGACTGTGTGTGGTTATTTCTTTGTGGTTTTGCTATTAATTTATTGCAATGCAAAAATATAATATGAAATTAATCATTTACTGGTTATATTTGTTGGCAGTTTTTTAGTTATTTTTGAAGATTTATAAGCCAGCTTTTAATGGGATCGTACAAAGCCATAAATCTTTTATTTTCAAATCTTATTAACTTTGGTTAATAACCATAAATCGTAGATAGTAAAAAAATAAGATTATAAGAAGGCCATAAATTTGTTAAATATTTTAAGATAATTCAACTTAAGAATTTGATTATTAACTTAACAAAAGATTGGCCAACTTTTAACAAGCAGCTTCTACAAAATTTCTCAAAAATTACACCTTTTTCATGATTTTAACTCTTTTTTGCTTGGTTTAAAAATCACAAAGAAACCTAAGCAACCCCTAGAAAGAGTATTTAATTGAAAATCAGATGCTTGAATAGGCGGCTGATTTAATATATGCATATAGCATATAGCAGATGGAAGAGGCTTGGGATCGCATCAGATCCACTCGTCTTGCTTTCAGTTCACTGTCATTGTCTTTGGGGTGCGGCTGCGTTGGCGTTGGGATATTGCAATGTTGCAGTTGCAGTGTCTGCTGTGTTTGACTGTGTTGCATGAATTTGCAAATTGCTATTTTCTGGGGCTGGGCCAACGATTTCCGTCTCTCTCTCTCACCATTTCGAAGACAAAAGCCATAGTCGATTTCCTCTTCTCACGCATTTTTGCGGCCTGACGTCAAATGAGATTGAGACTCATCATTTTTTTTTTGGTTTTAAGTCTATGCAGCACTTGTCGCCAAACTTGTTTCGCCCCCGCGGCTCTACACTAAATAACGTGGCCAAAAATAAGTTCAAGCCGAAAATTGACAAAAATAACAAAAAGCGAGCCATAAAAATAACAAAATAAAAGCCAAATTCCGAAAACGAGTTTTCTGCGCATGCGCAGCTGAAAATTTGCATGAGCCAGAGAAATATCATAGGTTCGGGCTACAAAAGTATATATGCCTCATCGAAGGTCCAAGCGGATGTACTACAGACTCACTTCGATTTGAGCCCCTGGGCTTACCAAAAAAGCAAAAAAAAAAACGTAGTAAAAGTCTATCATCATCTTTTAATATGCGTGCAATGTACATATCTCTCTCTCTGTGTGTGATTTTGGTTCGTGTTTGAAAGTTTTGCACTCGATCGCTTCGATTAGCATGGGAATTGCAATCGTCGTCTTCAGAGGTGTTAATCTGGTAAAAGTTTCGCCATTGCATAAGACCCGAGATCGTAAAAATTGATTTTTAGACCAATTTATGTAGGCGTGCATCTGCCTCGTCCCTCTCACTTTTCGTTGAATTCCTCACCTGAATGATAACTAATCAAGCATTCATTTTCATCTCAACAGAAAGCTGATTTTATTGAGCTTACAAAATAGGCAGAAAATACTAACTAAAAAGATCAATACTAAGATTGAGATATGTGTAGAAATGTAATAAAAATAAATCAAAATCATAAACTGCTAGCTTAAGAAAGACTTTTGCTGTCTAAATTTTAGCATGAGTAAACATAAATATTTGATTTAGGCATTCATATGTAAATATGCACAAGGAAGGCAAACTTAACCAGGCTGTTGAACATAATTTGAAATCTTAATATCTTATCTTGATTTTAATGATTTCCAATATCGAAAACTTTAAGAAACACACCCTAAGTTTATAAAACCAGAAGATGACCCATAAAAATTAGCAAATCTTCTTCGAAAATACTTTTACTTTCCATAGAAGCTACTAAGTTGAAGACTCATAGTTAAGCCCAGAAGAATTCTTTGCGCCCAGCACGATGTGTCACACATTAATTATGCAATCATCTAAGAGAGACATATTTTTTAATATCAAGTCAAACCGGGCAAACGAAATCGAAAACGCGGCCTCGATGAATAATTCAGTTAGCTGAGAACGAAGAGGAACCAGTTTGGCGATCTTTCCTGGTTTTTTTTCTTCTTTCTGCCCTGGGCAAGGATAACAACTTTCGGAACTACACATCCTGCCAAGGTTGTCCAACGAAAGAAAGAAAAAGAAAAAAGTAACACCCCAGCCCCCCTTTTTTGGGGGCCCAGGCCAGGAAATCCAGTCGATATGCTGAACTGGACCAAATATTTACGACTTTTGGCCAGATTTGCGCTAATTGCGTACAAAATGCAGGCAACAAAAGCGGCAAAAACAGCGAAATAAAAATGATTTCTCAGTTTTGCAGTTAATGTCGAGAGTTGTTTGTGAATTTTTTTTTCATTTGCAGTTGCTGCAACCACTTACCGGAAGCATTTTGGCGGCTTTTTGCTGGTCGAGGTGGCAATACAAGGCTCCTTTGGGCTAGATGTTGCTGCTGGCAATGGTGTTGCTGCTGTTGCTGTTGCTGTTGCTGCTGTTGTTGCTGTTGCTGCTGCTGCTCTCGTTGTTGTTGTTGTTATTATTTCAGTTAAACGCGACGACAACGACGAGGAGGAAAAAATAACGCTAAGATTTAGTGTGAGATTTTTTGTCGTTAGCTTTTGGAAAATATTTGCTCAGAAAACTGGGCTAAATGCGGTTGCAGTTGTTGTTGTTACTGTTGTTGTTGTCGCTGCTGTGTCTGTATTTTATGCAATCTGCACAGATCTTGGCTAAATGCTCCACTGCCTCCCAGCAGCAGCAGCAACAACAACAACAACATCAGCAGCCAACAAAAGCAACTATTGGAGATGCCGAATAAAAAAAAAAATATTTAACCAGGCCGAAAGTAAAAACTGTTACACACGTCTGCGCATTAAGTTTTTCACTTTCGGCCAGGCGCGGCGGCGCTCTTTTTGGCCCAATAACTGAATAACTAAATCCACACACATATCGAATCGCAGAAAAAACTATCTGCAAATTTTCCACATTCACTCGAGGCACGCAAAATCAACAAGAAAAACAGTAAAAAAAACCAGGCAAGCCAAAGCCAGGCCGCCAAACAAAAAGAAAAATGTGCAAGAAAAGTTCCAGCCACGAACTGAGACTCAAATATCAAAATCAAAATCAAAAGAAAAAAAAATGTTAAAAGTATCTTCTTTCGTATGCACGGCCAGCAACGAGTTACCGCTAAAGCCAACAATACCGTTCGAGAGTCGCCGCTGCACTGAATCCGTTTGGTGGCCAAAAAGCGTGGCCAACAGCAGCAGCAGCAGCAGCAACCAGCAACCAGAAAACCAGCAACATGCGACATAACAGAGGCCAAGCAGCAAACAGCAAACAGCAACAGCAACTAGCAACATCAACCAGTTGCTGCGCAGCCGCAAAAGCCGTCTGTTAAACCAGTTAACATGGCACTTTTGGCCAAGCTAAACTGCCAGCAGCAGTCGAGAGACACACAAACGTCGTTCTTGGGCCCTAAAATTACCAACAAAAACAAACAAAAAGCACTGAAAACTAATGGCGCTGCTTTAATTATGCTTCGAGACCAGAAAATTATCAATTATGGACACACTTTTGCGGTTTTGGCGTTAAATGGCAGTGAAATCGGCCACTAATTGTTGGCCATAATGGAGGAAAATGCGAATTGTGCAAGACATTCTGGTTGTAGTTTGTTGTGATTTGGGATTTTTAGTTTATCTGAGATATGTTTTTAATATTTAAAAAGGTTTGTTTAACTTTATTGATAGAAAAACTAACAAATTTTTCAAATTAAGACAACGCTAAGCTGTAGGTGATTCCCCTTAAAATATTTTTCGTATAAATATAAAATTAATTTATGGGAGTATGTAAATATCTACTTTTAGAAAATATATTTTTTCTCTGTAAATATTTTTTTTTAATAAATATTTATTTATAAACTAACATTAAGGCCATACAAAAAGCCTTTCTTGGGCATTCAAGTTTGCTGAATTTTCTTTAAATCAATTACTTAAATAGCAACTACTTAGCCTTAAAATATATCCTAAAACTACGTTAATTAGTTAAAAATATTTATATTTTTTGTAACTTTCTAAATACTTAAATGAACTCAATTAAATTTAAGAGTATTACTAATTGCTATATCTTTTATCATTAAGGCTAAGTTCGGTATTTATTTCTATTATATTTGAAGGGGCTTCCCTAGGAGTTACTTTTATTGAATGCAATTACATTTAAAGGCAATTTAATCACCTAATTCTCTTGTTCATAACATACAAACGCTTGATTTATTAACTTAACTTTGTGCAATTTTCAAGGAAATCTGTGCAAAACCTAAATTTCCCTTTCGCCATTCGCCAGCCAGCCAGCATCTTCCCATAGACTCTAAGCCGCTTTATAGATAATGCCCCAAGCTTTTGTGGATCATCTTGGGATTGGAGTGTTCGATATATTGCAACAGGTGATGTTGTTGCTGGCCAAAGACGCTTAATGGGCTTAATTTGTTGCGCACACAAGTGGATGAATGGAGATGGGAAAAGAGAGAGAGAGATGGAGTGTGTGTGTGCCTTTCTGGGTATTTCAAAAAAACCACATTTAGGGTTTGGCCGGAACTCAAAATCAATTCAGTGCCCAAATAATTTTGTGGCTGACCTTTGTTTTGGACCCACTTCATTCCCAATACCCTCTCCCCCCTCCCTTCCTCTTGAAAAAAAGAGTTTACATAATAAGCATTAAATGCTGTCATCAAAATGCCAACGGCTGCCAAGCGGCGGCGCGAAATGAATTTCAAATATTTTATCAAGCGATTTGCTTATGCCCCCTATGCTTGTTGTTGTTTTTGTTTATGTTGGCTGTTACTGTTACTGCTCTGGGCCTTTCTTCCTCTTTCTCTGTCACTCCACTCCCAACTTAAATATCTTATAAGCGACTTTGCCCGCTTTCTGCTCTCCAATAGTTTTTCGTCTTTTCGTACTCTTCAAAAGGGTATTCTTATTTCTTCGTGCATAAAGGTGACCCAAAAAAGGTACTTTAATATGGTATTATAAACTTGATTTTAAAGCAGCATATTTAGTAGTATAAACTAGTGACTTAGTGATTAAAAAAAGTTAAATGATGTCCTTTACTACTTGTACTTTTTCCCATCTATTTTTCCAATTAACTCTGCATAAGTTTCTGAGTACCAACAGGAAGTTGACCTTAAATTCAACCTAAAAAATATCTCTTGAATTCTGATTTTAAAGTAGATTTTCTATATAATTTTGTGAGTTCAAAAGGTATACAAAATAATACCAATTATAATTTTACAGTCACTCAGAAATTGATGAACATCTTAAAGAGTTTCTGAAGACCTACATGAAAGTGAGGGAAAATTAAACTTTTATAAACCAAAAATTAAGTAATGGGATCCTGATTTTAATTACTAATTTCTCTACAAATTCGATAGTTAAACTATCTCACTCCCATTTATTTATAATATATTACATAATTGTATGTCAGCTTTCGTAGAATCATCTGATCTTTCGGAGAAGAGCGATCCTAAACTGCATTTACAGCTGACTTAAGTTTAATAACATAAAATTAAATTTGACAACCTAAAAAGTTGATTCAATTGCTGGTTAAAAATATTTAACTAAATAAGTTCAAATTTTTAGGGTATTTAACTCTTCGGTTAGCTAACCTAGCCTTTAATTTCTGTCTTATTTTTAGAGCTGTCTTCTCATTTCATTGAATTTCATTTCATTTGGTTTCGTTTTTATTTCGGCTTTTGCCTTTCTTGCCTCGGACGGCAATCAATCTCGCATTTGGTAACTGCCATTTGGCCGGGGCCAACATAACACACTGGCATGGATGACGATAATGATACGATAATCATCTCAAGGATGACTCACGTTCGCTCCTGGCTGTTAAATGCATCCGCTGCAAGAGGGCCTTTCCCGGGTATCCATATGGCATATGTACATACATATATATAATATATACTTATATATATATATGCATTCAGGGCACGCAGAGGAGCAGCTCAGACCTCGAGGTGCCCAACTTCCGTTTGGAAGGGGTAGTGCTGGGTAGTGAGTTAAGGAAAAGGAAGAAGGTGCAGCCGAGAAGGTAGAAAAACACACACACACGGACCACCGTTAACTGAGTGGAGTGGGTGGGAGTATTAAGAAACTATATATATAGTATAGTTCAAGGAAGCAAAACTGTTTATTAAGCTATTTCGTGGGATTAAAGGATTACACAAAATGCGATTTAATAACAATATATCAAAAGATATTTTTGAGTAATCCTGAAAACCAAAGCTTAAGGGTTAGTCAGTATACTTCTTTAGATTTTATTCCAAACAATTTTCAATTTAAATTATTAACAAATAAACCCCAAGAGGGCTTTTCATGAGTAAAGAATCTCAGAAATTAACAGATTATTAAATCCGTAAGATATTTTAAGGCCTATAACCTATAAGAAAAGTAATTCCAGCGTTTCAGTTTCAAGAGTCTTTAAAGCAGGAGTGCTCAAATTTATCTTATGGCAGCGCTTTAACTAACACAAATTCAAGAAAACGTGCACATATTTAGTGACGCTTTTGTGTTGGTTTGCAGCTGTGCACTGAGAGAAACAAAAACTTATTTTCGCTATCCAATTCATCGTTTATCTTACTAACCCGCCAATAGCGAAATAATCTTAAAAGTGCAAACAAAAGTTACAAAGAATGAATTCCAGTGCAAGTGTCAAAGGATTAGCGAAGAAGAAAGAAGTACAGTTATCTATGAGAGAGATAACGAAAAAGTGTTGGTGGAATAGAAAGGAGCTCGAGGATGATCGAGGAAGAAACAAGAACAAATTATATTAATTGCACATATTTAGTGACGCTTTTATGTTGGTTTGCAGCTGTGCACTGAGAGAAACAAAAACTTTTTTTCGCTATCCAATTCATCGTTTATTTTACTAACCCGCCAATAGCGAAATAATTTTGAAAGGGCAAACAAAAGTTATATGGAATGAATTCCAGTGCAAGTGTCAAAGGATAAGCGAAGAAGAAAGAAGTACAGTTATCTATGAAATGAGGCGGAGAGAGAAAACGAAAAAGTGTTGGTGGAATTCAAAGGAGCTCGAGGATGATCGAGGAAGAAACAAGAACAAATTATATTGCAGTTGGCGACGGAATGAGACGGAAAGAGGAAAACGAAAAATTATTGGAACAGCGCAGCTAATAGCTGTAAATATCCTATAAACTACCCATAAAGAAGACCAATTCAGAATTATTTCAAACCTAAATGCTTGGTATTTATAATACTATTTAAAATAAATCACCTAAAAACCAATTTTAAACACAAAAAAAAAACAAGTAATAAAGATAATTAAATCAAATACCTAGATCTCCAACAGGCTGGTGAGATCCTCTTGTACCCGTTGCCAGGCAAACTCCATGCGACCTTCCTCCAGTTTAAGACGACATCTGTCCGGGATGTGTTTAAAGAGTCGGCGGAATGGACCATATTGCTCCAGGCACTCTATATCGCCCAGCACAATGAGCTTATTCTTGGCACGGGTAATGGCCACAGTAAGACGCCGCTGATCCTCCAGAATCTCGGCCTCCCGCGAGCGTTCCATATCGAAAGCCTCACCGCCTGTCTTGGAACAACTGTATATGATTAAGTTCTTATCTCTGCCTTGAAACTGATCGACTGTATTGCATTCCAGTTGGGGATCCAGTTTGAAGGCCAGCTTCTTGAGGAGCTCCACTTGAGCGCGATAGGGGGCTATGACGCCAATCCTTGAGGCCTCGAAGCCGGATTTTAATAAATGCCTGAGCAAGTGCATCACTATGCCCGCTTCACAGTAGTTTGTGTATTTCGATATTCTCTTTTTGGAGTTTTGCTTCTTATTTTCATCTTTGTCCTCGCCAAAACATTGCTCTATAGAAGAGCACGTCTTCGCCAAGCGCTGGGATGCCTGAATGAATTCCTGGCAACGTTCGAGGCAATCTCCGGTATTTATCAGCGTAACAGACTGCTCCAAGTGGGTTGTTAAAGACCGCTGCACCCAGCGGGGTGCTTGGTTTGATAGCTCTACTTGGAATTTGGCATCGGAAACCTCGTCCGAGGCACATTTTAGGTCTCCGCCATAAGTCAGTTCATTGGCCAGCCGGGTGATGGTCTTGTTCATGCGATATTGCAAGCTTAGGACAGCAGTGGCTTGTTCGCAGTCCAATCTCTGGAATAAAGTCTCATCAGCTCCCCTTTGACGGGCTTCTTTGGATCTAACAATTGGTGGCAACTGCTCTGGATCTCCTACGAGGACGAATTTGCTGCAGTACATCAATGGACGCAGCACAGTGGGCTGCAGAACCTGCGTGGCTTCATCCACAATGCAATAGTCGAATTGGCGACGCTGAAAGAGCGGATGTCCAGCTCCTAGACAGGTTACTCCCACAATGGAAGGCTTTTCTAGGGCCTTCTCCAGTTCCTCCACTGTCTTACAGTCTTTTGTAAGCCTTTCCTCGCTAATCTCCTCCAGTTGGACATGAATTCTAGAGCTAGAACCCAATCTCATCATGGGCAAATCAAAAGGCAGCAAACGCATTAGAAGGTTATCCACCGCCGAGTGAGTTTGGGCTGTGATGAGCACACTTTTTCCGAGTAGATGCAGCAATCTGACCAGGGAAACCAAAGTCTGGGTCTTACCAGTCCCAGGAAGACCCTTAATCAAGAGGTGACTGCTGGTGGTCAATGCCCGCAACGCAGCAGCCCTTTGAACTTTGTTTAAGTCCTGCAGCAAGGTTGCTCCTTTGGTTAGGATGATCTTGGGCAGAACTTTGTGCTGCTCTGGTGGCTTCCTGGCCACTATAATATCTCTCAGCTCCTGGAAACGCTCACCCTCGGATAGCAGTATTCCAAGATTGGTAAAATTAAAAGTTGCAAAACTTTGGGACTCATGCTTGTCCATAATGAAGGTTTCCTGACTATAAAGCTGGCTAAGATCTCGCTCCAGACGTAGATCCAAACGTCGTGCTTCTATAGATGCAATATAACCAGAGGCAATGGCTAGGCGGGAACTAGAACTGATCACCACATATTCACCCAAGTCGAACTGAAAGAAGGATTACGGATTAGCATACAGCTAATAAGATGTTTGAGAACAAAATTACCCCACTGAGGTTGAGATCCCGGCTGGCATCTGCTTCTTCACCTAGCTCCAGGCTCTGACGATAGCGTCCTTCATCTAAAGTCACTTTTTGACCCTTTACTAGCTTCAATTGACCAATGGCTCTGCCTTGTTTTTCGCGCTTCACAGGATCCTCTGTCCAAAAGGATCTTGCGTGTGAGGATTGACGATTGTGCTGCTCCTCTAGAGCCAGCAAGCCACACCAGTGCTGCACATAGGCGTGATCCGGCTCCTTTAGGTGCCCCAAGAGTTGTGGCATTAGTTTCTTGAGGGGATGTGATTCGCTTAGTTGTAAATCCGCGTCCCTTTCGGCAAAGCTAGAGCAGATGGTGCTGTACGGGCAATTACCGCAGGCGCTGTGATGGTAAACGGGCTCGGGTAGCTGCATTTGCTCCAAAGGATCTTCCTTGCCATCTGGTATGGTAATTTCCTTTGTGAGCCAGTGAGCCAGGTCATTCCTGAGCATGACGAGATCCCTCTGTTCGTTTCTTCCGCTGGGAACCTCTCGTAAGAGACCCTCTCTGAGGTACAGAAGCAATCCCGACTTAGTGTCTCTGCCCTGGGCGGAGTGCATCAATTGGTAGAGCAGCAGTTGCCCCTTGTGTTCCATGGAGAAGCTGGCTCGGCCAGTCTTGAGTTCCAGTGGTATGATCTCCTCCTTACGCAGTTGATTCTTGACCTTCACAGAGACATCAACCTTGCCCTTAAGTCCCAGTTGAGGCACCCAAAGATTCTCCTCTATATCACGGATCTCGTGGATGCGTCCGCGATAGACTTCTGGCGGTAGGACAGTCGGCGTTTCACCCTTTACGTATTGGGAAACAAAGCTGACGATGGGATCGACAAATTTGTACAACTGCGTCTCCATTTCCGCTTGGCTGAGATTGCTGGCATAGAGTAAATGGGCCAGAGAAGAGCTGGCCAACATCTCTTTCAGTGCAGATTGGATATGTGCTTTGACGGACAGCTTTTGCCGGAGAACTTTTTGTAGTAGCTCATGGACTAAAGTGCCAATGACCATCTAGAAGGGGAATAAGACCAGGATTAGTTGAGTTTTGCGAATCAGGAAGGGTACTTACTACTGAACTTCCAGAATCCAGACCCCGGAACCGCTCCTGCAGCACCGATTTTCGCTTACAAAAGAGAGAACCGGTGACTGTGGTGCCGGATATAAGGAAATCCGGCTGCGAGACACAGAATCCCTGCTCCTTATCGACCACATAGCATCCTGCAGACGGTTCCCACTTGCCTATCAGGGAGACAGTATCCCCGACGGCCAATGGCATGCTGTTCCAAGGGGCATGAAGTTGGCAAACAGCTGTTTCCGGATCCCCGCCAGAAATCCTTTTAACGTGTATTTTGATCCCCTGCTTTTTCGGCAGTTGCTCCATTTCCTCCACCTGGCATCGCTGCCATTGCTTCAGGTCCAACCGGTGGTTGCTTATCGAATCCAAAGCTCCAATCGCCTCCAAATCGAAGTCATCATTGTCGCCCCAATCAATATTCTCCAGTTCATCTGCTGGAAATTCTAGTTGTTCCTTGAATTTCTTCTGCGGATTGGGAGATGTCACTTCGGCATTGCCATTTTCCGCTTTAATGGGCGTCAGCACACGCTTTGTGGCCATCGCGGAAGCTTTCTTTTATTTTTAAATGATAACTTAAGATATTTACTTTTTTCAGTTAAGCGTAGAATTCGTTTTGGCGCAAATAATGTGACCGCTTGTCACTTCTGGTTAAATAGTCAAAACACCTACTGCGCGGTGTGAAGCAGCTATTTAATAGCTAGTATTTATTTTACGTTTTGTTACTGTCTCTAATGAGAATTCAGGATGGTGTACGCCGTTAAGCATGTTAATAACAGATAACACCAACAGTTTATAACACCAATCATGCGCTATTTGAGAAAAATCCTTTACCTAGAAGGTAATAGATGATTTGGCTATCTCTCCTGCTGTTTAAAATCTGATTTAGCTAGTTTTTTTGTCATCTCTCACAGCGGGTGTGGTGAGTTGCGCAAAATACATGACCAGAGGGCGACACTTTGGCGCCATTTAAAATGTTTTGTGTTCTTCACGATTTTAGAAAGTAATCCAAAAAAAACACGAAATACATAAATATGTAAAAATAAATACCTTTATGACTAGACTAATTGTTTTATATTTTTAATTTGATTTTTTTATTGCAATATCAAGAGTTAGCAAATAATTATATTAACGGAAGCAGTTCAGTTTTGGCAAGCAGTTTGCTTTTAAAGACTTAGTTTAAGCAAATCATCTAAGATGGCGCTTTAAGCCCATTTTAGAAATTATTAGAATTACTTTACCTAAATAGGAAAAGAGTTTATATATAATTTAATTTTATTAAAATTGTTATTTATTTTAAGAATAAGAGATCGAAATGATACAAAAATATTACAATCTAGAAAGGCAATTCAGTTTTTGCAAGCAGTTTCCTTCTGTCAACATTTAGTTCCAGAAAATTCCTATGGGCGTCGCCTCGCTTTGGCGCTTATTTCAAAAATTTCTTTAAAAAATACTTTAAATGCAAAAGATACGACAAGAAACAGATGTTTAAAATATAATATTCAGAAAAGTTAAGACTTCATTTGGTTTTCAAACAGAAAGTGCAAATACTGATCCGCCTGGCGATTCCCTCGTTCTCGTACTTGTGTAGCAAGCAAGGCTGGCACTCAGTTCCTGTTAATTAAATTATTTTCAATTTACTTAATTTATTTTAAGGGATTTTAGAACTCACCTGTTTCTAGGGTGCTGCTGAGGTGGGTTATATAGCTGCTGGCCAGGCGGATGATCTCGATCTTTGACAATTTGCGATTCATGGGCTCCGTGGGTATTAAGTTTCTCAAAGCTTCGTAGGCGGAGTTTACACTGGAGTTTAGGGGTGGGAAAAGTAATTCTTTAAAAGTTAATAAGCTAATAATAATTTTAAGAAATATTTTGCTTCCGAAATATTTTTATGTTTTATATTTATTTATGCCAAAAAATAGCTATTTTTATGACCACTGCTGTATGTTCTTAAACTTTTAAATTTAAAATCTTTTTTCGTTCTAACTTCTACCAGCAGTTACTTCGATTTCCCTCAACTTACTTGAATGTTCTGTAGCGTTCCCTTGCGTTGATTTTCTGTCTTGGCGGTCGCCGCCTGGAATTTCCTCCCTGACCTCCCTGCCCGCCTTGCAGCTCCACACCCAACTGGGAGTCCTCGGAATCGGCTGCTGCTCCACTGCCTCCACTGCCGCTGACACTGCCACTACTATTACTATCCTGGGCAAATAAAGCCATCAAATAGTTGACCGCCGACGATGATGATGAGACCGCCATCCGTTAGCCACAGCGTTTGCGGAGCAACTGAGCGGACTCTCTGGCCGATTCTCGGACTATATCCACTTCTATATCCCGCCTGCACATTTATGTTCTGCTAAATGAATTAAGTCATCGGCTAGTGACGACAAATTGTGCGTGAAGATGGGAAACAATAACGAGACCGCTTCCACCGCCTTCTCCGCACTTGTCAAAACAACCGGAGAATGCTGCGTACTTGTGCGGTGCTAATTGTGCATCAAGTGGCTGGTGATCCAAGGATAAGTAACATATATATATCCATCTTCATTTGTCCATCCCCGATTTGTTGGGCCAATTTGTTTGGTTGTTTGTGTGTGTGGAAAACGGAAGTGGCACTTAGACCCTGACCTTCCCCTTCTCTATATTCAATATTTTCTTTTGGTTTTTCTGGACCGCACACATGCCACGCATGCGTTACAGTAAGTCATTCAGTCATTCAGTCAGTCTTTCAGTCACTTATTCATTTACCCACCCATATTTAATATTTAATATTTAATATTTATATTTTATATTTATATTGTTGGTTATATGATATTTTATTTATTGTGGAACTCGGATAAGAAGCTGTATGTTTAACATGAGTAACTTATAAGTTTATATGTTTAATAAGGCTGCGCGACAATATGTGGTGACGTCTTCAAAAGCAGATACAAGAAGAAAGAATACATAAGAAAATATCGCATAAAGCAATAAAAGGGTAGCTTAAGAGTGACCAAAGTTTGTATATCGATTGTTGCCCGACAAATCATATTTCAACACTCCTTCTCAACAATCATATACTTTATACATATTAATAACAATTCATTTCATTAATACATTTTACATGTTTGTTCTTTTGCAAGTTTTTAGTTAACACATCTGAGACCATATCATTAGTACTTATATACTTAACATCTATTTCATTTTTAGTATATAACTCTCGTACATGATGAAACTTAATATCAATATGTTTACTACGTTTATGCAAAATCGGATTCTTAGCTAAACATTGTGCGCTTTGATTATCGCAATACAACAAAACGGACTTGGTTTCTAAGAAACCCATTTCATACAATAGTTTCTTCAGATATATCGCCTCTCTAGCTGCCGTGGATAAGGCAATGTACTCGGCTTCGGTGCTGCTAAGTGCCACCGAACTTTGCTTTTTGGATTCCCACGAAATTGCCCCGCCAGCAGCAATGAAGACGTACCCGCTATACGATTTGCGATCTGTAGTATCGTTAGCCCAGTCAGCGTCCACGTATCCATGTATCTCCTTTCCAGTAGCCTGATAGTGAAGCTTCATGTTAGCCGTGCCTTTAAGATATCTCAGCACGCGCTTTGCCGAAACTTCATGCTCCTTGTGAGGATTGGCGTTGCGCTGCGCCAGTTTCACTACCGAGTGTAGTATGTCTGGCCTAGTTGTTATAGCCAAATACATCAGGGTGCCTATTAACGATTGATAGCCTTTCTCGTCAATGGCCTTGCATTTGGCGTCATCACATTTGACTTGATGACCCGCCTCCAGTGGTGTAGCTACAGGTTTGCATGTTGACATGCCCCAGGCATGAAGCATCTGCTCGACATACTGCTTATGGCCGATAGCTATGCTGCCAGTTTCGCCATCGCGCTCAACTTCGATGCCCAAAAAGTGATTGAGCTGGCCGCCATCCACAACATCAAACTTATTAGCGATTGATGCTTTGATGCCCAAAAGTTCATCTTTATTTGAGCTGGCAAGTAAAAGATCGTCAACATAAACTGCTATTATATTTATACTACCTTGTCCATTGCGTACATATACGCACGGCTCGCTGACACACGGTGTAAAACCAAGTTTTTTCAATACTGCGTCGAGCTTAGTATTCCATTCTCTGCCGCTTTGTTTAAGCCCGTACAGAGACTTCTTTAGCTTTAGGACCTTCTCGGGAAACTCTTCGCTTACGAACCCATCTGGTTGCCGCATGTACACGTCCTCCGATAGCTCGCTGTTCAAGTAAGCAGTAGATACGTCCATCTGATGCAAATGCAGCTTCTTCTCAACCGCCAATGCCATGATCATTCTAACGGACGGGTATCTGACCACAGGTGAGAATGTTTCCCAGAAGTCAACACCATAGCGCTGAGCACATCCTTTGGCAACTAGTCTTGACTTAAAGCGCTCTACATAGCCTTCCTTGTCAACCTTTACGCCAAATACCCACTTGCAGCCTATAGCCCTTTTATCTTGTGGCAGATCCACTAGATCCCACGTGTTATTGGCCTCTAGCGCATCCATCTCCTTCTGAATCGATGCTGACCATTCCTGCTTCATTCCTGACTGATTAACCTCACCCAAATTTGCTGGAATGTGTATATCCTCTGCCTTCAGCATATTCAGACAGTTGTATTGCTTACGTGGTCGCCCCGGCTTGCCAGTTTTAACGAGTCTTGGACGCCCTGGTCCACGGGTTTCAGATACAGCAGGCTGCTCTGCCTCATCGCTGATAGCACTCTCGTATTCATCACTGTTCTGATCATCTCCTGTGTCCAAGTCATCCTCTCCGACGTCCAAATCATCCTCTGCCTGAAGCTGCTCATCATTGTTGTCTTGTGCCTGCTGATTATCTGCTACAAAATCATCAAACAATGCCATTTCCATTTTATCGCTTGGAGATCCACCTACATTATTTTCCATGAAAATAACATCTCTGCTTTCAATAACTTTCCTTGATTTAGGACAAAACAAACGATATGCTTTTGCCGTTGCTGAATAGCCAATCATAACGTATTCATTACCTTTTTGGCTAAACTTCTTTTTATGGGCTTTATTCAATACGATTGCCTTTGAGCCAAAAACCTTGAGGTGCGACACATACGGTTTCTTGCCAACCCACGCCTCATATGGTGTCATGTTGCACAACGCTTTTGTTTCTGACCTATTGCGCAGATATGCTGCAGTCTGTACTGCCTCAGCCCACAGGCTCTCATCTGCGCTTGAATGAATCAACATACTCCTGGCCATTTCTACCAGAGTGCGATTTGCTCTTTCGGCAACTCCATTTTGCTGTGGAGTATAGGGTACTGTCAGCTGTCTTACTATACCGTTTTCAGTAAGAAATTGTCCAAATGCGTGGCTCACGTACTCGCGCCCGTTATCGCTTCGAATTGCTTTTACTTTCTTTCCGCGTTGTTTTTCTGCAAACACAACATAGTCTTTGAATGCGCTTAGTATTTCATCACGAGATTTTAAAAAATAAACAGCTGTATAACGCGAGTGATCGTCAATGAACGTTGCAAAATAACGCGCACCCCCGACAGACGGTTTGTTCATTGGTCCACATATGTCCGAATGAATCAAATTCAACACTTCTTCTGAACGACTTTCAGATTTCTTTGGAAATGGTTTCACACTAATTTTACTTTTGGCGCAAGTCTCACACGCATTGCTGTTTGAGTCAATTTTTGTATTAACTGTTTTTAAACCATTCACCATTCCACCACTCGCCATTTTAGTTAAGCTTGACAAATTTATATGGCCAAAACGATAATGCCATTTCCACATTGCACTGCTGTTTGTATTAGAATACATACACTGCTTCATTTTTATGTCAATCATAAACAAGTCACCATATCTGCACGCTTTCAATATGTCCACATTTTGTTTATCCCTAATCACTGCTTTGTGGTTATCAAAAATGACTTTATATCCATTTTCAACTGCTTTAGCCACCGATATAAAGTTTGTCTGTAACTCTTTTGCATACAACACATTTTTCAGTTCTATTGTGAAACTTTTTACACTAACACACACAGTGCCAATGCCATCGGCCAACACAAAATTGGCGCCAGCAAGAAATATTTTTTCTTTGTGCTCTCTCATTTCTACGAACCACGACTTATCACAACACATGTGTACAGTCGCGCCACTGTCCAGACACCACATTGATTTGCTCAAATTGTCAGTTTTCTTCACATTCGCCAGAATAGCAAGGGCTCTCTTCTTCTCAGTGCTTGTGTCTTTGTCATTTTTTAATTCTTCTTTGCACTGAGCTATAAAATGACCTTCGCGTCCGCACCTATAGCACTTCTTTTTCTTTTTTGTATTACCCTTTTGGTATACATTCTTCGCGCGCGACATAAATGCTTGCTGCACACTGCTGTCCGCAACTTCACTTTTCACTTGTTGTCTCTGTCCTTCTTCAATAATTTTTATTTTCAAGTCAGATAAGGACGGCAACATTTCTCGCGTCTCGATTGCCACAACGAAATTTTCAAATGATTTGCCTAAGCCGGTTAGCAACAAAATTGTAAGCATGTCTTCACTTATGTTCATTCCTATTTCGTTTAACTTTTCCACTATGTCCGAGAATTCACTTATATAGCTTTGCACACTTGTACTTTCTAGCAAGCTCATTCGCAGCAATCTTTTAAACAATGCTATTTTTCTAGCTGGTCCGCGCGGCTGGTACACACTCATTAATTTCTCCCATGCCTCTTTTGACGACGTGCAATTCTTTATGAAGTTAATTTGCGACGACTTTACACCCAGCAATATGCTTGCTAATGCCTTTTCGTCCCGTGTATCAAACAATGCGTTTTGTTCTTGGCTATCCCCTTCATTTTTCACAGTTCTCCCGCACACAATTGGCCACAGATCACTTTGCACCAGAATGCTTTTCATCTGTACCGACCATACCGCGTAATTTTCCTCATCCAACTTTTCGATGGAACATAACCCGTGTCCACTCATGTTCATTAATTTTTTTCGCAATCACACACAGTAATTTAAATTAATGTCACAGTTTTTTATCCACACGAGCCCTGGGCCCATAACCTGTTGGTTATATGATATTTTATTTATTGTGGAACTCGGATAAGAAGCTGTATGTTTAACATGAGTAACTTATAAGTTTATATGTTTAATAAGGCTGCGCGACAATATGTGGTGACGTCTTCAAAAGCAGATACAAGAAGAAGGAATACATAAGAAAATATCGCATAAAGCAATAAAAGGGTAGCTTAAGAGTGACCAAAGTTTGTATATCGATTGTTGCCCGACAAATCATATTTCAACAGGTTGTCAAAAAAGTCTTGCGGTATTTTCGCTAGTTGGCGCTGAAAGGGCGTAGTTCTTGTTTTGTATTCGTCGCATCAGGTCATACTATATCTTTTTGGAAAGCTCATTTCACGCGCTAACACGTGTTTGATTGATTTTCTTTTTCTAATATTAAGATAAAAAAAAAAGGGGGTATTTTACAGTACTACTACGATAAAAGCAAAAATGCATCTCAAGCCGCCAATACAATTAGTGCAGTTTATGGACCCCGATACAGTTTCCATTTCCCCCCCCCCCCCTGGTATTAATATGTTTTAGATTTTTTTGTTTGGGGGGGGTTGGGGGGGGGCCCGCCTCGTTTTTTTTTTTTTAGGGGGAGGGGCGTTTTTGGGGGGGGGGTGTTGTAGGGTGGGTGTCTCGTTGGGAACGCGTCATCGAGCAAATCGGCGCAGATTTGACTTGAATCGCAATATTGTAACCAATTTTATACCGCAAGACTTTTTTAATAATAATAATAATATATATAATAATTTAATATATTATATATTATACTAATTTTATGTTAGATAACTTAAGTTTCTGATAATTTGCAAAAAGGTTCTTCCAGAAATTCTAAATATGAAAAAATGGATTTCCATTTCTCACAAAATATAGTCAATAAGTGTGTAAAAAAAATCCATAAAATATTTATAGTTTTAATTATGATTAACTCACCTTCCGCGTTTCTCGATTAACTGCTTAACCCATTTTATTTTAGATATATCTCAGTTTCTGATCATTTTCAGAAAAGAGAGTCAAAACTGTTGTTTTAGATCACAAAACTTGAATAATTTTATTCATAATTTCAAGATTATCTTTAAAATATATAAATTGGCACTTGATATATTTGATGTTTCATCCATTTATATATATTATTTTATATAGTTAAAAGACAACCAAGCCATTAACTAGCTGCGAGCAGAAGGCCTTAGCTGCTAGCTTCATGTTAGCTCTTAGTTTTAAACCAATTGTAAGCCTTAGATAAAAAATAAACAAATGGTTGATCATTTTTTTTTTTGATATAACAATAAATACATTTATTAAACGTCAATCATCCAACTTAATGGCTATAATACGTTGAGAACAACAATGAACAAATAACATAAATACATAGCAGGAAGGAAATTAACAAATTTTTATAACTAGACAGCTAGAGATCAATGCTAAATACTAATACTATTAATACTAATACTAGATTACTGCTTTAGGACTCGAGAAATTTGTCGTCCTCTTGTCCAGAGATCGGCTGGATGCCTTCGCTTTAGACGTCTTCTGGTAGTTGCATTAGCCAGCGAAGAAGCTAAGTGGTTGGTGTGAGCTGTGAGACGATCGTTGTACCGACTCGAGTGCCTGTTTATCTGTTCCCAAATAGAGGGAATGTGGAGGTCATCTTCTAGGGCTTTGTTTCTAACGTACCGTACGTAACGCATTTGCAATTATGCGCAACGCCCGGTTTTGAATGACATGAATCCGAATGACGTTAGAATCCGAAGCCAAGCCCCATAGTTGGATGCAGTACATAAAAGAAAAATGTTTGATTCGTTTTATGTTAGATACATCTCTGTTTCTGATGATTTGCAGAAGGCTGGCCAATAAAATGTTCTCTGAAATATTAAAACTTGTATAAGATTTCAGAAATTATCTGTAAAAATGTTAACTTTTTATTGATTATTTGACCAATTTTGTCTTAGATAAATCTCAGTCTCGGTTAATTTCCAGAAAGGCTACCCAAAACCGTGTTATTAACCCTCTTAAGATTTAAAAACAACAAACAATAAGTATTTAAAATCATTTCACTTTTATTTTATACACATTTTTCGAAAGTTTCACTTAGCTAGGCTAGAAAAAAATCATAGTGAGAAAAACACAATTCGCTTAGGATTAGGGGGAGTTACAAACAAATCCAGGGGGGCACAGGGGAAGTCGAACAAGAACGGAACTATATATATATATATAGATATGTATATAATAGGCATATCGGATCGATCGGTTTATATATTGAGTATGCTTCAGTGGATGTGCGAGTGTGTGTGTTTTTGTGTTTGTGGGTGTTTTCGGGGTGGGGGGTTCTTTGACCAACAACAGCAAATAAAAAAAACATTAAGCTCGGCTATATTTCTTCTAATAGAAACTTGACGTGTCTCTTCGCCTTCTTCATCCTTTTCAACTTCAACTTCATTTTCATTTTCATTTTCATTTTCATATCCATCTTCATCTTTATCGACTTCTTCTTCGTTTCGTTTTCGTTTAAAATAATTAAAAATAATAGTAAATAAAACACCACAGTCATGATTTTTTTTAATAGAACACAAAATATACACAAAAAAAAGGAGTGGGAAATGGGTTGTGGGGGGCGAGGGCGCAAATTACAAATTAAGGAAAAAAAGTGAGGAAAATTTGCAAATAGCAAAATATTTACAAAAGCCAATAGAAAAATTGGAAAATCATGGGATAGTCGGGACAGTAGAAAGATATAGTACTAGGGCAGGAATAATTGTATCAGGCGTTTCTTCTTCTTTCTATACATATACATTTTCATGTTGTTGTTTTTTTTTTTCATAATTTCATAATTTTGCTTTCATTTTTCTTTTTTTGTTTTATTGGTATATATAAATAAAATTCTTTGATTTGTGTTTTCGTTTTTTGTTTTTTTTTTGCAATTTTGCTTATAATTTTATGATTTTTTTGTGTTTAGTTAATCAAACTAATTCCGTTTTTTGTTATAAAAAAATTAGCTAAAAATTTTTAAAAAAATGTTGAAATTGCCGGGAAATTTCTTTGATCGAATGATGCACAACAGTATTGTCTCCGTGTGAGTGAGTGGGCGTGGCCGTGCTTGTATGTGTGTGTGGAAGGTTGTGTTGGGGGGTGGAAGTAGCGGTTTCTTGGGGGGGAGACAGAGAGAGAGAGAGAGATAGAGACAGGGGGAGAGCGAGATAGAGAGGGTGATCTGCTGCATTTGACTCTGTACAGGTTGGTGACTTGACTAATTCGGGCGAGGGCGTGGCCGGTGCTGACCGTTGACCTTAGATCAGCGCCGTTATCAGCTTGGCCTTGAAGTTCACGAACTTCTCGCTGGTGGCCGCAACGCGCTGGAAAGAGAAAGGGTTAGAGATTAGAGGGGTTATAGAAATGAGATCTATAATATACTAATATAAGGTTTTGGCACTATCGAAGGGCTGGATTGCCTTGAAGTAAAATTTAAAATTCTTAAAAAGGTTTTGGAAAAATGTTTTTATATGATTTTGATAACTTAATAAGTCTTTCAAAGGGTGCAAAAATAAATTTCAAGTCTGAAAATGCATTCTTTTCTCTCTGAAAGACAATGCTCATTTTTCATTGCATACTTTTAGGCACCTTCTGAACTAACTTTCACTATAAATTTGATTCTCTGTCACTCCCATAATTACAAATTTTCCACTTGAAAACCCATTTAAATCCTTGTCTGACTCAAACACCTACCAGTATCAAGTCCTGGACCAGATTGGCCAGACCGCGGTTGGCCAGCACCACAAGGCGCGTGACCGGGCCGGGAATGCCCTCGGTGTAGCCATCGGCATTGCGGGTGCTATCGCCATCCGCATCTCCATCGCCACCCAAACTGCCGCTGCTACTGCTGCTGGCACCACCGCCCACTGAGTTGGCCGCCTCATCGCCCTGCTGGGTCTGAACGCTGCCCGAGAAAAGCTGAAGTTGGTAAGGGATTAGTTAGGTAAGTCGAAAATTAGTAGTCATTAAAAATCAAACAAGATTGATACTCACCCTAACCACATCCAGCAGGAAGTTGCCAGAGCCGCCGGCTCCCAGGGCATTGCCACTGGGGGAGCCGCCTGCACCGCCGCTTGAGCCGCCGGCCAGACCCGCACCGCCGAAGCTGAGGAACCTTTTGAACAGATTACTATTGATAAAGCCATTCCAATCGAATTGTTGTTGATTTTCGGTTCAATTTATAAGTTAGTTGTTGATTTTTTGTTGAATTTTGTTGTTGAGATGAGGCCATTCCATTCGTATTGAGTGGTTGTTGAGTGTATTTCAGATTTTGTTGAGTTTTGATTTGATTTTATAAATATTTATATTTTATATGAGATATTTGTTATTTGTTGTTGAATTTTGATTTATGTGAAATTGTTTTTCAATGTTTCAAGTATTTCAATTTGTTGGGTTTTTGATGAAACGTTGTTGAGTTTTTGTGGAGTTGTTGTTGATTTGTTGTTGAGTTTTTGTTGAGTTGTTGTAGGGGTGAAAAGGTAAGGAAAGTGTTGAATTAGTTAAGTGTTGTTCTTAAAATATCTTTTTTTTATAAATCTTTTTTTAAGTTAAGTAAATGAAAAGAAGTTTGTATATCAAATACAAAGCCATGCAGTTAGGCATTGAAATGAGTTTCCTGGTGTCTTGAATACCTAGTGAATGTCTCCTTTACTTACCTCTTGTTGCGATCATCAAGTTCGGCGGTCTCCTCCGCGGAGTCAAGGGTCAGTTCATCGATCGCCGGCGACTTGGACTCGGACAGCTGCAGATCGTTGGTGCTCAAGGCCTTGTCATTCACACCTGCGGAGGTCGAGACACTGGGCAGTTCGTTGTTGAAGCTCAGCTGGATGGGCTCGTTGGATTTCAGGGGAATGGGCGCCTGGGCGATCGGCGAGGAGGCAGAGGACGAGGATGGGGACAGGGACTGGGCGGCCACAGCGTTGGCGGCAGCTTCCGCCTCCTTCACCTGACGGGCCACTCGGATAGTCTCCTCCAATTGCTTGTTGATGGCCGATAGGTCGATCTGGGTATCGGTGGCTCCATTCTTTTGGTTTTTTTTTCGGGTTTTGTCATAGGTTTTTTTTGCGATATTTTTGATAGGGCATTTGTTGCATTGTTTTTGTTTTTTTTGTTGGTGGGTGTTTGTTTAGAAATTTCGAATTTTGGAGTTGATTATGTGAGGGTGGGGGAGAGGAGAGGATATTGGGTGGTTCCAAGGGGGTGGTGGGTGAGAAGCCCAAGGTCGAGGGGTTGAGGGTAAGGCAAAGCGTAGGATTCGGCGACGTGTAGTTTGTGTGTTTTTCGTTTTGTATTCGAGTTTTTTTTCAGTGTGTGTGTGTGTGTCGAGTGTGGTGAGTTCAACACAAGTGAGGTTATGTCATCGTTTGCGAGGTTAGGGTGAATGTGAGGTTAGGTGGAGACAGAGTGGTTAGGTGGTTTTTGATTGATCATTTGCACAGGCGATTTGTTGTTTTGTTTTGGTCGATTGTGGTGTCGAAATCGATCGATTGATTGATGGGCAGTTATCGAATACGTGCACAAATGCGTTCGATGTATTTGTGTATACATTTGCGGTTGTCAGTTATCGGTTATCAGTTATCGGTTATCAGTTATCGGTTATCAGTTATCGGTTATCGGTTATCAGTTATCGGTGGAGCGTTGTTCGTATTTTTTTTTCGATTGATTTGATTTGATTTGATTGTTTTGGTGGTGAGTTATTTGCATTGCACAAATCGAATCGGGTTTTAATGGAACATGAAAATAAAGAGAAAAAGATACAAAAATAAGCAAAAGAGAAAAACAAAAGGAGCGAGACAGCACAGATAGAAAGAGTTAGATAGATAGTTAGAGAGGAGCGCTTAGTCTAGAAATCCACTTTCTCACACATCATCGACTATCGTTCACGCTTCCTTTGGGTATATATTTTTCAAGCGTTTCAAGTTCTATGGTTAAATTATAAAAGACAATTAAATCTCTCTTTCTGGCCAACAGAAAATTAAGTACAAAATCCTTGTCAACTCTTTTGTTTTTGCTTCTTTATTCAGGGCGGCGGGGCGGAAAAAACAAAGACGGCGAAAATGAGTGCGGAAATGAGTACACCGAGTATCGAATATATTGCTGGGAATGAGAGCAGAGAGATATATGTATAAATGCACTCGTGAGTGTGGTGAGTGTACAGACGAGTGCTGTGAGGTGAGGTAAAAAAAAAAACACCCAACCGTGCCCACAATTAACCTTCGTGTCACGAGCGACAAATGAGCTTAATGGGGGGGGTTTTTACACGCTTTTATTTTTTGAGTCTGTCTGGGCACCAAAAGTGTGTGTGAAGGTTTGAGGGCTTTCGAAAGTCTCTGGCGATATCAAAACCCCCTTTTAAGGTGTCTTAAAGCAGGCATAGGGAATATTTAATGTGGTATATACAGAAATGAGGAATACATTGCCTACTTATAGACACCAATTGCAGAGTTTTGATATCCCCAGAAACGACATGTTGTTTCTGGTTTGAGCAAAAAGTCTCAAGTGGATACAAATTATATCGGTATATTTGGAAATGTATTAAAAAATGGCTTACACAACTAATACAATATAAATGTAAAATATATAAGTTTTAATTTTTAAAAAAACACCTACTAACCTAAGTGGAATGAGGGTGCGCATGAGAGAAGGCAGGATAGATTTAAGAAGAAGATATGGCTTATAGTTTGGAAGTGGAAGTTGAAATGGGAAAAGTTGTAAGAGAAGATGGCTGGGACAGAAGGCAAAGATAAAGATGGAGAGATACAAGAGACAGAGATACAAGAGAGTGGAAAAACAGAGACAGCGGGAGAGAAGAGAGCTGGTGAGTATGTGCGTGTGCTAAAAACCAGTGTTGTAAAGGTAATTTCAAAACAATCAAGTGTTGGTTAACAATGCCAATTCAATGAGAACTTCACTTTCATTTTATCATTCTCCTTTAATGTTTATTTCAATTTCTGTAGAGGGTGGTTGGGTGTTGTTGTTGTTGTTGTTGTGCTGCGCGAAGAAATTTCAAAGGGAAATGGAAACCAATTTTAAATGCCAATTCAATAGTACTTCGTGATAGAGCTCTTTAATATCAAAGCCAAAATTGTATCTGCAATTTATCATATTAAATGGTGTTATGATGAAACGCCATTTGATTATGAAAAATGCTCTATTAATGGCTTGACAGATATAACTAGGGTTTACAAATCTCATTTAGGGATGTCTAAAAGGGATTTGAAAACTCCATTGTTATCTGTTTTACCAACTGCTGATACATTTTGGTGACATTTTAGCTCATCTTTTTGTGATTATCTCACAGTTGTTGTAGCAAATGAAACGCACTTTAATCGGACTCGGTGGTTGAGGTGGTAGTGCTGGAGCTGGTGGTGCTCGTGCTGGTGCTGGTGCTGCTGGTGCTGCTGCTGCTCTTCTCGGCATCGATCTCGTTCTCATCATCCGGTTCGAAGGTGGGCAGTTCGATGGTCACACGAGTGCCACTGTCGTCACCGGAGGAGGTGGTGCTGCTGGTGCTGTTCTTGGAGCTATCATTGTCATCATCATCAAAGTCCGCATCGAAACTGGTCCTGGCCGCATTGGCACTATTGCCCTGGATGGCGGTACGCAGGACCGTGGGTCCGAGAGTTCTCAGGAGCTTAGAGATAATGCGGTTTGCCTGCTCGTCGATTTGCTACAACAACCACGAATCGAAGTGGTGCGCATACGATTTTAGATTCGGTGGTGCAGGTGCATAGAGTTTTGAGTAGATTTGAGTGGAGGGGAGGGGAGATTAGTTAGCTTCAGTGGTTCAGTTTTGATAACATACAATGCGGGTGGTTGGTTGGTGTTTTGGTCAGGGGCTTGGGCGGAGGAACTTTGGGGCCTATATGGTGGGTGTATCAACAATATACAATGGGGTTTGTCATGGGTACATGTGTGGAGCGATTCAGAGGGTGAATTCTACGTGGGAGTGAGGGGCGTGGTTCCGAAGCGATTTCAAAAGTGGTTCAGTTGGGTATTTTACGTTTTTCGAAAGTTTTTTTTAATAAATTTACAGAGAAGAAGAACTTTTTTACTGTCCCGATTTCTAGTCCCGATTAATAATAAGTTTCAATTCTTCAAATTCCAATTCTTCAGCAACATTTTCGCACTCTTTTCAGCCACTTCTAGAACCACTTTAAAACCCTTTCGGCTTGTAGCTTTCTTCTACGTTTGTTAGGGAATGAGCAAAGGTCTCTAAAAAAATCGAAATCGATAATCGAAATCGAAAATGCTTCTTCTAAATGATGTTGCTGATGTTCTCTCTTGTTCTTCGTCATCATCCTTATGTGGTGGTTGTTGTTGTTCTTGTTGTTGTTGTTGTTGTGATGGTTGTTGTTGTTGCTTTCAAATCCGTATTTGCCTTTATAATCTATAAATTTGCTGTTGTTGTATTTTCAGTGCTCAATCAAAGACGGGCAATAGTTTCGTAATGTTGTTGTTGTCAATTGTTGTGGCCTTTGTTGTTGTGGCTGTTGTTGTTGTTGTTGTTGTTAGATTATCTCTGGTTGTAATAAAATAATTGGTAGAATTTAATAAACGATTTATATCTTCGATGATTGTTAGCAATTGTGGTTCATCGATGCTGTTGTTGTTGGGAAACAGGATATTGGTGGCTGTGGTTGTGGCTGTGGTTGTGGTTGTGGTGGTGGTGGTTGTGGGTTCTTTTGGTGGGGGTAAATCAGTGGTGCTAGTACTAGTAGTAGTGGTTGTTGTTGCAGGCAAAGTTGCTGTTATCGGCGGGTCAGCGGTTGTTGCCGGCTCCAGGGAGCGCGGCAATAACTGGACCAGCTCCTCCACTGGCGTGCTAGTGGTACTAGTGATGGTTGTTCTGGGACTGGTGGTTGTTGTTGTTGTTGTTGTTGGGGATGAAGATGCTTGATTGGTTGTGCTTTCTTCACCTTTCGATCCAGCTGTTGATCCTCCAGTTTGTGGTGCAAAAGTGGGCAGATCAATCTTCACCCGACGGCTTTCTTCCACCTCGTTGACACTGTTCGGTGGTGGTGGTGGTGGTGCAGGTGCACCATTGCCTGCACTCCTCGTAGCTGGACTGCTCGATGGTGCCACATCATCGTCATCGTCAAAGTCTGCATCGAAATCGGCATCGAAATCGGAGGTGGGCGTTGTACTACCGCCGGCTGCACCACCCGCACCACCGCGATTTCCGGCCAATATGCTATTCAGCACACCAGGACCGGCCACCCGAATCACCTGGGCTATAATGCGATTGACTATCGAATCGATTTCCTAGCAAGAGATCAGCGAAAGGTCAACAGAAAATATGTGGTTTGTTTTTGGTTTTTGATTTTTGTTTACTGGTTTACTGGTAAATGAGATTCTTTGGTGGTTCGTTTGGTGGTGCTTTCCACATGAGATGCTGATGCAGTAGCTGATTGGTTGCAGATTTGGTCGATTGTTGACTGTTCTTGATGATCTTGGCCAATTGTTGGGATGACATTTGCTATATATCTGTATTTGTTTGCAGGCTGAAAACTCAATTGTGGGTGGTTGTCTATTTGGTAGATTGTGGGTGTCTATGTTCGTGTCTGTAGGTGTGGGTGTGCGTGGATGGTGGTGGTTCAACCTCTGCTACTGGGTGGTGCTGGCATGCTGAGTTCAGGAGGTGGTTGGGTGGTTGAGTGCTCGTTTGCTAAGCCTAAAGATAAAAACATGCAACATTTTCAAGGTAGAACACATTTCCAGGAGGAGAGGAGGGGACCAAGCCAATATTTTTATGGGGATAAAGCCTTAGGGCTACATATTTTTTGTTTGTTTGTTAATTCTTTCTTTTTCTTTCTTTAGCGCTTCAGCGTTCCCTTGCGAACTCGCCATCGGGCTTGAATTCGGTTAGGTCCTCGGGCAGTTGGTCATAGTCCTTGGACCCTTCCTCCTTAACATCCCCATCAGTGTCCTCTTTGATCGGCTGCCGGGGATTGAGGCCCCGATCGAATCCCGGATTGAGAATCGTGCCCAGAACCACGGGCCCAACGCGTTGCAATACATTATTCACTAGACGATTGATCTGCATATTGATCTCCTATGTGAGGAAAACATTTCGCGTGGCGCCAAATTCAATACACTTTCATATAGACAAAAGGTTTATGTTTATCTTTTTTCTTTTCTTTGGGAACCTATATCCCCGGGGGCTAAAACTGTCTAAGCGGATTGTTATATATAAAAATATTATATATATGATTTGGCTGACATTTCGGAGAGAGAGAGAGAGAGAGAGAGAGGGTCTTCGGAGGGGGGGACGGCTAATGGTTCATGTATATATATATAGATATAGTTATATATCTTATAAAGCTCTTACCTTGGTGATGTCGGGGAACAGCTCACGCAGCAGTCCAATCGTTCGTTTATTGCGATCGGCTATCAATGTTTCTTGGTCTTTGGCGCCCAATGTCAAGACATCGATTTCCTGCAAATGCAAAAATAAATCCAAAATAAGTTTCATTTCAAGCATTCTCTTTTTTTTCCATTTGAATAAAATCTTTATCTTATTAATTAATATTAAATAATACCAAGAATCTGCCAGTCATCAAGTCGCATTTTGATACAAAGCCTTTCTTCGTGACCTTAGCCATTTGATACTCAACTAGTTGAGTTTCAGGTTGGCGAATGATGACTGGTTTCAGGTGTGAATTACTTTGTCTGCGGTCGAGGTAAACAATAATACCTATATAATTTCGTACCATCTGTTGCATAATCTGGCAGTGAAACAGAGGCGAAGATGAGGTGGCAGCAGCAGATGCCAGGCGAAAGAAAACAAAAGACCCCAAAGTGCCCGCAAATTGACAAAACTTTCACTTTAGACAATGAGTTGCTGCTAGTGGCGCCCCTTTGAACCCCCAAGTCCCCCCCCTCATGGAGAAACCCTTCATCTTCTCACTCCCCCTTGTGTTTGTAATCAAGTTTCAAGTGTAAATTGTAATTTTCTTGGGGTTTTTCAGTGGTTACAAGAGATCTTCTATCGCTGCAGCACCACATTAAGTGGCCCCTTGTTTAGGTTTAGTGGGTGGTGCAGTGGTTCAGTTAAGTTCAGTTAAGTTCAGTGGGTGGTGGTGCGGTAGTGCTCTTCACCCCGAAAACAAGAAAAAAAAACAAAAACAAAAACAGAAAGCAAGAGTCAGGAGGCTCAGTCTCAAAAGGCCCAGGCCCAGGCCCAGAAAGCCAAATGACTTTGCAAAAAGTTGTTAACGTTAATGGGCAATTGCCAACTGTGCAACAACAGCAACAACAGCAACAGCAATAAGCTGTCTAAGCTAAGAAAATATTGCACAATAAATTTTCAAATTGCATTAAAATTGCATTTTGTGGGCGGTGGATGAATGGCTGAATGAGCGGCCAAGAAGGCAACTAACTTTTGGACAATCAACAGCACGAGTCACTAAGCAGCAAAAAAGCAAAAAAGCAACAGCAACTTCTTAGTTGCAACAATTGTCAAGGTGCCACCAGGTGCAAGGGATTCCAAGCAGCTCAAAAGCAGCACAATCTAATAATATAGCATCAACACTTTAACAATTGGAAAAGTTTCTGCCGCTCCTCGAGGAAGCTAAAAAAAAAATAAAATAGGTTTGTGCTGGGCAACCATTTCAATATCGGACAATAAAGTCAAAGTTTTAATACTCTTAATAGTCTATGGGGTCTGATCAGTGGGAAAAGGCATTAAAGATTTACGAGTAATATAAGTAGAAAGCGTACGAATGCGATATAGAACTTTTCTAGGGTTTTAAATTATCAACTGCCTGAAAGTATGCAGCAATATATTCGAATTAAGTTCTATGGACTTATCTTTTGCTCTTTTTAGTTGTTTTAAAATCACCTTTAAGTTAATCATACACCCATTATTAACAACTTATGGTTCTTACTATATTTATAAATAATAAGCTTTAACAATTGCAATCATTTGTTTGCAAAATATTTATAAACTTCCAGCAGACAATGACTCGAACTTGTCAACTTGGATCCCATATATCATCAATGACAATAGACACGGTTAATGAGGCAATTGTCTATATTCTACCATTGTTTTTTTATTATTATTATCCATTGCCTATTATTCCAATTGTTAATGGCTTTTATATATGTATGTCCACCTTTCTGGCTGGCCTTTCGTTGGAAACCACAACTTAGCCGGTTAATCTCATTTTGCAGGGTATTTCCATAAAATTGTCACGTTTTTCAGCCCGGCTAACTTTTGGAATGCTACTTAAAGGCAAAAGAGATTCGAAATGGGATCCCCAGACTGTATATATATATATATCTGAAGAGTGGATGTTGCTGTTGCAGTGTTTAATTGACTCAAAAGTCACTGCGGAAGTTGACTTTTACACGCGGGCGGAAGTCACCAGCAGCAGCAGCAGCAGCAGCGGCGATGATTATGACGACCATGATTATGATGATGAGGAGCATAAAATAAACTTTTGCTAGTTTGGCCAACAAACTGTTGCCAACTCTCTATCTCTTTTACTTTTTTTCCCCTGAAGTATTCATCATATTTTAAGCTGTCTGTCAGTGTCAGTTTAGTGCGACAATTGTTTGGATATTGCCCAGAGAGAAGGGCGTTTGGGGGGGCCAGAAACTACTTAAGGCAAAAGTTACGTTTTTATGGGACATCTTAATGAATTTCAAATGAGTTCAGGCCCAGAAGCTGCCTGCCTGCCTGGCTGCCTAGCTGCCTCGTGGCAAACGTCATTAAAGCGAATGCTGTGAATTTTAAGCAGTCGGCAGTATGTTGGGAATTTCATTTTCATTTTCAGTTTCATTTTATGCCAAGGCGGAAGACGCCGCTTATATAGAATCGATTCCAATCGCTAATCGATAGCCAAACTTGCCAAAAAAAAAAAAAGAAAAAATCATTAAAAAAGAGAATCAAAAAGAAAACAAATTGCTGAACAGACTTTTCAAAAAGCTTGGACTTATACATTGCCTTGACCTTAACCAACTTAAGGCGCCTCTCGAATCAATAAAAATCCAACAAATCACTGCCTTAGTCGAGCTCTATTAGAAAGAGCTATAGACGGGTGTTAAGTCCCCGAATCACAAATAAAAACTAGATTCGATAAGGGGCAGACTGCGCATAAATTAACATTGCAAACTGGTATATTTTTTTATTTTGAATTTGTGGATATTTTATTCGGTGCTTAAAATGGTATTTAGTCTGGGATTTGGCCAACACTTTTGATAAAGGAAATCTAGTTTTAAATTATGTGTCATGGTTTATGAAAGATAAATATGTTAATAGCCATTTTTAATATATATTTTGATAAACTTAAATGCAGTCTAAGCTGGGCTGGGCGATGATTTTACTGAATATAATTTAAAGTTTTTCTATGCCAACTTTTGGTCTTCTATTTTGCATTTTTAATCAGTTAAATGTCTGATCTACTTAGTGAATCAATAAATTATTAATATTTATTAACATTAACTGATCTCATTCAACGAGTGTTAATCACTTAGTTAGCTTTAAATTTATATATTTTTTATGAATTTTAGTGAGAAGCTGCCATGTAACCCCAAGCATTCCATAAAAACAAATTGAAATTCCAACTTAATTGCAAATTGCGACCTCATCGACAGTGCGTGTCATGACCGCTCATTGGATTCATTTCTATATCTAAACAGATAAATCGCTGCCACGCCCATTTGGTAATCCATTGGGCCAGAGGCAAGCAAAAGGCTTTTAGCCAACCAATGAGGCCTTGTTCGTTGGCTAATAAAAAATACGCGACACAATTAAATTAAATTGAAAAATGGGCGAAACTGGAATTCGAAAATGAATAAATCAAACGAGCCACAAGACTAAACTACGGCTATTGGATAATGGCCGGGCTTTAATTATTCTCAAGCACTGGCTAATCGCAAAAGACAACATGCATAGATATCTTGAATGTTATTTTTTCTTTGCCTCCAAAGAGACTACAATTTGGACTCCCTGCCGTATAAATTGTCTTTAGTTTCCATCTGACTGACATGACAGACAAGGCAAGCGCGTCTCGTTTGCCACTTAACAAAAATGCAGCTACCAACAAATTGCCAGCAGCAGCAGTAGCAGCAGCAGCAGCAGCAGCAACAACATGCCGTTGCAATTGACGTTTTACTTGTCGTACAATGCGGCGTATGCGTGATATGTGTACAAGAGCGCGAAGAGAGGAAGTTGTACAGTGCAGTGGCAAAGGGGGGTGATACTGCCTGCCTCAGGGGCTTCACAAGAAGGGGGTGGAGCAGGAGCTAGTGGTTACATAAGCGGAAAGTCTGTCACTAGGTAGTCGACTTCCACTTGGCGAGAAATCAAAACAATGTTTATTCGACGGTGGGTGGTGGGTGCATCATTAAAATGCTATTAAAAATGGGTATTAAGAGTGAGGAGAGCTCAAAAAATAGTAAGAAACTTCATGAAATACTATTTAAATATTACCTATAAGTAGCATTGCTAGATTTCTTCTAAGACAGAAATCGGAATCATAAAATAAAAGCAAAAAATCTCAAGTTAAAGTAAGAAGAACTTTACTTTCCTAACAAAAACAAGCAAATACAAATACTATATAAAGACTGGAGATATTTTGCAGTCCCCTGCCTGCCATCAGATTGTTGTTATATCATTTTTGCCACGTGCTGGCTGCCAAGGAAGCCAGTGAGCAAACGAATCGAATCGAGGCGACACAAAGAGGCAAGCAAATAAAAATACAAGTAAAGTGGCAACAATGGAGATATCATTGCAGTTGACATACCAAAGAAAATTCTCCGCAGCTCTGCTTATTTATATATTTTTCTCCGATTTTTCACAGATTTTAGACTTGCCCTCCCCTCTTTCTCCTTGCCAGCTAGTTCAATCGCCATTGTCATCGTCTCGTTAAATGATTTATGGCGCAAGGCATGTCAACACGCCGAGATGAACATCAGCTCATAGTCAAACTGAACTATATATATGAGCAGTATATATATACATATATATCGACTTCATTAACGTATCAGCGTTTTGTGGGCTAAATTTTGACCCAGTTTTGGCTCTCGAATTGGGCAACAACAAATGCTTAACGTTTTGTGTAACTTTTGCTTTTGGGCTGAAGTTTTGACTTAACTTTATTTTGGATCTCTCAGCAGATGTTCAAAGATGTTAGCGTGGGTGTAGGCATTTAAAACATGTATTATGTAGTGCATGGTAACATGACTTAAACTTGCTTCATACTCTTTGGCAAGCTGCAGTTAAGAGGGAAAAGGTTTGTGAAAGATTTCCAGAGGTTGCTATCATTACAGCACTTTTTATAGCTGCTATTTAAATAGATATATATCTTTTTAAATGCAATACTTTTTAGCTACCTTATACGTTAAGTGCCCTTTACTACTTTTTTTAACAACTTTTTAGTTAACAACTACCGGAGTTTTGCACATTTTTCTGTTTAATTTATGGCCCTGCATCTGTCAGTATAATAAATATATTTTATTTCCTTTCAGTTTTCAGTTTATTTACTGGTTTTCTCTCTAATATGACATATAAAATCTTATAACTTCTTACCAGGAAAACAATTTTGTGCTTTATTTATGGTTTTTCACACGAACATTCAGAAATAATAATTGCATGCCAGCCATTTGATTGACAAATACTGCGAGTTGCGCTTTTTTTTACACAGCCTTCGGGCTGTCTGGAGATTTCGGTTTACGGATTTCGGAGATTTGTGCAAATTTGTTGCACAAAGTGAAAGCCATAAAATGACATAAAACAATGCTAAAAACTGGACAGCTCTCTGGCCGAATAGTTTTTGGCCAACAAATTAGCAGGGGGCTGGGCCGTACGGGGTGCTAATTGCCGGCACAGTGATACAATGATCCCCGGCGATGATCGAATACGAATGGGAATGGGAATTGTGGGGAACTGTCTCTTGCTAGGCAATTAAGTAATAAAATAACAGAGCTCTAGTCCGGCTTGCTCAACGCTCAGCTCGGCAAAGAGTCCGGTTTTTTTGGCCAGGCCAGCCCAGGCCAGGCCAACACCCAGCTGAGTCTAAAATACAGCAGCAGCTACAGCAGCAGCAGCAACTAAGGAAACAGGTACCAAGTGTGCCAACTTCCTTGGAACTGGTCTGCTCTGCTCTCGAAGAGATCGCAGCTCTGATCCAGTCACGCAGGTTGGACGGGCCCAGAGACCCCGAGACCCGAATTGGCCAAAAGCCAAAACCAAAAACTATAAACCCAATACCAAAAACCAAAAAGTAAAAGGAAGTTTTAGCCAACATGTTTGGCCGCTTCCTCCCCCTTGCCGAAAAAGCCAACCCAATCCAAGTGCAAATTTGTCAAGCAAATATGGTCGAAAGGGCAACTGAGGCAGCAGCACGCGCTACTTTGAGCCAACTGAATGTTAACGAGAGTCTCTCGTAGAGTTCCAGCACTTTAGCCATTAACTTGGCCAATTAGGCTGAAGTTTATGGGCCCAAATTGTTTTATTACCGCATTCCCATGGCACAAGTTAACCGTTTAATAGGGCTTACCACCGACATTTTCACGTTTTAAATGTTTTAAATAATAAGGCCGAGTTAGGGCAAGTTTTCAATTACTTTTCGAACCACCCACGAATGGGAAAAGCCTATGAAAGCTTTAGATAATATTTGTTTTACGCACTCGCTTGTTTGGCTTTGGGTACTTTATCATTATCTTGATATAGTCAGCCCTGCAAATATTGGTTCGGCTTAAGGCTTTTTTATATAATTTGATAGCTCTCTTTAGAATTTTAGTTACCTGCAATTGAAATGCATTTTGCATCCTTAATTAGCTGCGTAGTAAGTGTGATTTCCGCTTTGATTGTTAACTAATCTAATGGCATTTTACTAACAAGATTTCGTATGTTTCTGATCACATCTGATACCTCTCAGAAGAATTGCCACCTCAGTGCTAATTTCTAAAGTAAAGTTAAGTGAGTCTTTAGTTATGTCTTTTTAATTGTGAGTACTTGGGGTGAAGTAAATATTACTTTTAGTTTTTAGCAGGAATTTAAGACGAAAAAGCTCTTATCAGATCATGATTTCAAAGTGGAAAAGTTTAGTTTATATAATACCTAGAATTTTATCAAATGGAATTAAATGGTTTTCCCTTTTGATAAAAGTTGTCCTTTTTTCGTAAATATAATATATTTCTGAAAAATATTGGTTAACTTTCTGAGATAATCTGAGATAATATCATGAAGATATAAGGAGTAGTTGAAAGTTTAAGCCCACTTTTTAGGCAAGAAAATCTCAAATTTTTAAAGGATTATTTGATTTATTTTAGACCCGTTAAAACTCTATCTAACTATGGAAAATTTTCTTTTAATTCTGAATAAATTATGATTAAGTTACCTAATAATATATAATAATAAAATAAATAAAAATAAGACATAAATAATAATCATGTTGCGATAGATAGTGAACTGCTTCCACGGCATCTGGCAACGCCAAGCCAAAAAAAATCGATAGTTCTAAGCCCCTAATGTTAAATCACCGTTAAGCTGCAGGACATTGATGTTAAATCTCTGTTACGCTGTAAGCCCTTGATGTTATATCCCTGTTAAGCTGTAAGGCAGTGATGTTAAATCTCTGTTAAGCTATAAGGCCTTGATGTTAAAACTCTTTCTTTTCGTTTTTGATAAGGTAAGAAGATCCTTAAATCTAAGCATGAATTTTTATATTATTTGTAATTCCTAGGAATTAAAAGTGCTTGAGAAATATCAGGGCTACACCCATTCGACGATCCGCAAAAAATCATTTAAAATAATATTCAGTAATGATCGCCTTAATTTACATTAAAGTAAATATAGTAAAAAGTAGTAATTTCAGGGAAAACACTTTTGGAAAATTTTTAAAAATTATTAACTTAGCTATTAAAGAGTCTACCCAGAATTAAACAGAAATTCATAGCGCCCTAAACCTATTTTAATATAATTTTATGGCATGAATAAAAATCTTATCTAAAGGTTTTTTGAGCATCAACTGATGGATATATATAAATATAGTAAGTCAGAATTATACATAAAAGTCGTTTAAGAGAAGTTAATACTGATACTGATACTAACAATAACTTTGTTTATTAATGACTTAAGTTTAGCCATTAAAATTTGTAAAATTATATCCCCAGAAATATGGAAAATATTAGAAAGAAAGAAAAATGCACTTTAAATTTAATTAAATAAATTAACAGAAAATTGTATGCCTAAAAAATATCAACACTAATCCCCCAAGAATCACTAAAAAACTCACCTTGCCATTGGCCAGCGGGATTTGGAGGACATCCAGCTCCTTGTTGCCGTTGGCGGGCTGGGGTAGTGGTACGGCGTTTACCAGGCAGATGGCGCTGCAGAGGAGTAGCGCTGCTGCCAGGATGTGCTGTCTGCTTGGCTGCCTCATGCTGTCTCTGTTGCGAGCGTGTGTGTGGGACGTGGGCGTGTGTGGGTGTGCTGGAAAGAGATGGCATGCTTATTAGTGATAATGCAGAGACAAAGACGGAGATATAAGGCCATCTGGCCTTCTGACCTTCTCTTATCAAGCGCGTTTATTACACGAAAAAAAAAAACAAATAAAATGGAATCAAAGCCAAAAAAAAATCGGATAAAAAGCAGCATATTTGATTTCGAGTCTGTGGTTTGTTAATTTTTTTTTTGATTTTCGGTTTTTTTCCGAGCGTTTGTTTGGTTTGCTGGCTATTCTCTGGCCCCCAAGGTCTTCGAAGCGATGCGGATGCTAACGATAACTGTCAATAGGCGATGGCCAATGGCCAATGGCTAACGGCCGATGGCCAACTATGGTGGCGGTTTGGTCAAGTTTAAATATTGGACATTTCTTGGGCAACTCGGCGTATGAGTAATCCCAGCAGTATGCTGCAACGGCGAGCAATTTATAAATCACAACAAAAATTATGTAATTTTCCTTTTTTTTGTTTTTACTTTTTATATTTGGCCAGCAACCTGTATTCGTGTGTGAGTGTGTGTGTGTCTGGCTTTTATTTTTTGTGCAATTTCTATGGCCAAAAGCTTTTCAAAGCTGGGCTTTTGTTAAAAAGAAATTGAATAAGGCCCAGTGAAAGAAAGCGAGAGAGGGGCAGGTGCGAAAAGGCAGGCATCATCCGTAATTACACACAAAAATGTGAGAAAATGCATTAAAAACAAACCAAAGCCGTAGCTCTAATTGAAGACAGAGAAAGGAAGAGTGATAGAGAAAGAGAGAGAGAGAGAGCGCGAGGGGTATAATTTCTTTGGTCAATAAGTATGCAAAAACAAAAAAAATAATAATGACTCATCCCAAAATTTAATGAGAGAAACTAAGTACATAGCAAGGGAAACCGCAAATTAGAATCGCTGATTGCCTTATTAGACTTTGACACGAATGCTGAGCTGACTTAGCAGGCTCAAAGGTTAAGGCTTTGGCAATTGAAGATCAGTTAGTGAAAAGTTAAATCTGACTGGCATGTCTAAGATTGCGGAATTAGTCACCAATAGGTGGAGTCTGCTATCATAAAAGGTGTATTAAGCTATTTGCGGATTTACTTTGAACTTTGAAATGGAAATATTCTCATTTGATTTTATAGATGGGAATAGATAGATAGAGAGACTATATCAGGACTAAAAATGCATGTCTTGAAACACAATTTATGATGGTCTTTAACTTAAACTTTAGACATATGTTAATTTTTATGAGAACAAAGCCAACTTTAGATTCTTAAATAATATCTTTACTTTTCCATTTTCCACATAAATAATCTTGAAATTCTCCAATTTGAAATTCAAAAGTTTTTAACCTGAATACTGGCATCAAGCATTTTAAATAATATAATTGACTTCGAGGGAAATACCGAAAAGCCATAAGCCATAAGCCAAAATCAAAGAGCCAAAAACCAAGTCATCTTCAGCTGAGGCATGCAAGAAATGAACTTGAATGTGTATTTTGGGCCGTTTTGTTTTGGCCGCCTTTGCTGTGCTGTTTTGTTTTGCTGTCAATCAGGCAATCAGTCAATCAGTCAAACAATTTTGCAATACAAAAAACGAGACAGAGAGAGAGAGCGGAAGAAGAGGGTAGAGAAAGGGGGCAATCGGAATTGCCACCTCGAGGCAAACATGCAATGCTGATGGTCAGACAGCGTCATTTCTTCGTCTTAACTTGGCTCGAAGACGTTGTTAAAACTGTTAAAGTAGGGCGTAAGCGCCAAAAGCCAAAAACTTAACGAATGAGACCACAACAGAAAAGCAAAAGAGAAAGAGCGAAAACCGGCAACAGATGTTATGTCATCTTTCGGGGCCTTTTGCTTTTACTTTCCACAGCTCTCAGCTGCTCTTTATCTTTCTCTATCTCTCTCTCTATCTTTCTCTCTCTCTCTCTGTCTCTTAACTGATCCATTTGCTTCTAACAATTGTCCGAAAAGTGATCAGTGATCAACAACGTGACTTGACATATACCTTTCGGTTTGTAGTTTGTCTGTTTGGTTTTTCTGTTTTTCTGTTTTTTTGTTTTTGTTTTTTTTTGTTTTTTTGCATACGGAACTCGGGGCTTTATGATTACGCCTTACGACTCACTGGCAATTGCACAAATATCATAAAACTCATAAAAAAATCCGCATCTGGCATTGAGTGCATGCTTCGACATGGACATGTCGTAATTAAAAGGCAAAGCCCCAAAAAACAACGCCGATAATCAAGGCTTGAGTGGGGTTTACTGATTTCGGATTTCAGATCTCTGAGGGAGGTTTCGAAATCTGATTTAAGACAAGTGACTCGCTGTTTTACTCTCACTCAAAATGCTGCTCAAGTAGTGTACTTCCTGTGCCAAGTTTTGCAATTAAAGTTCGCCCTTGTTTGGCTTGGGGTTCAGGGAAACGGTGCGCATGTGTGATATTTCAAAGGCTTTTTCAGCTTTTATAGTTCCTAACTAAGTTCTTAAAGATTTTCTATGATCATAAGCAGCTAAATGCTAAACCTAAGACTACAGTTTAGTCTTTGTAAATTCGATTCTTTATAAAGAATTTAGCCTAAATGAAGGCGAAAACTGGCTGATTTGCTCTCAAAGTTCTAAAGTCATAGTAAGTTACTAAAACAGTTTGATTAATAACCAAGTCTTGGAACTATATAGCCCTAAGACTTCTGGGAAACCTATTAACCGGCTTGGCCAGATTCTCCTTGAAGTTGTATATAGATCCACTTTAGTCCCTCCCCCCTCCTGGTAGTAGGCAGTTCCCCCTTTTTCGAATCGATTTCAGCACTGCACACGAAACCTCTCGAAACGCAACTTGGAAATTGGCAATCAAAAACGTTTTTGTGTTAACCAACTCGCATTAATTGGGCAATCGAAACAAGGTAAATGAATGCAGCAAATGAGAAATGAGACAAAACCGAAAATAGTTCAGCACACGCGTCAGGTTTGGTTTTCTTTTTTTTTTTTGATTTTTTTGTGATTTTTTTTTCGTTGGCTCTGGAATTTTCTTTCGGTGTTTTCTTTGGGTTTTCCATGTTTTCATATTCACAAAACCAAAAGTTCTTCAAGATTTGTTAAGCACAGCAAAAAAAATGTAGAAAAAAAATATGAAGGCATGTAAAAGGTTTTTGTTTTTAGTTTTTCATTCCGTTTTTTCTTTAATATTTTAGTTTTTAGTTTATATCCTCGCGATAACGATAAGAGTTTGGTGTTTTTTTTTTTTGTAGAGATTTTTATTTTTAGCACATCACATTGTTGTTGGTGGGGATACATACGCGTGTTGGCCAAAATAGTAAACAGCCGAAAAAAAAAGTATCGCCGTTGGCTCTTTGAGAAAAGAAACAGCAACAATTGCGTGGATCGGTGGATCAGTGGATCGTGGATCGGTGGTGCGACTGACTGCGACTGCTTCTCTTTGTGGTCTGGGCTGTTGGGCCTGCAATTGATTACTAACGTGATTTTATCACACACAAGCGACTAAAGCTCGAGACAAAGCGCGCGGCGAACCTCGGCAGCGGCGTCGGCAGCGGCGCCGCTAAAAAAAACGCCCGCCTTACCGCCTCCGCCGTACCGCTCGCGCGTCGCCTCAATTCGCTCCAAAATCTGCTCCGCAGATCGCCGCTCGAATTCCGCTCGAAACGAAAACGAAAGTGAGCGCCAAAGTCAAGCTTGAGTCGCCCGAGAGCCGAGCTTGACCAGGCTTTTTGAGTGGTTTTTAGTGGTGTTTTGTCTTCTTCTTTTCGTTTTTTTTTTATTTCATTTTTTACGAGTGTCTCCTGTATATATTTTTTTCTTTTGTATTTTTCCCATTTTGTTTTTTTTTCGACAACGACACGATTACGCGAAAAGTTTCCGCCTCGTGACTGCCAGCTTCAGTTTGTCAGTTTGTCAATCTCCATCAGCTGGCTCAGTTTGTCAGTGGGCCGTGGCCAGGATTAGAGCCAGTTTTATTTTACAATTTTCACCATTTTCCCTCTTTTTTTTTTTAGCATTTTTACATTTTTATTTTTAGTAGCAGCGTAGCAGCGTAGCAGCGACTCTTGGCTTGGCTTACACAACCTCCTGCAGCTGCGCATCTCAAAGATTCATTTTTTATATGCCGCCTCCCTGCGATACCAAGTAATCGTCGGCTCTGCATTTTGGCCAATCACACAATCCATACTATTCAATTTGATTCCATTTGATTGCCTGCCCATTACCATTCCGCATTCCGAAAGTTAGTCGGAAAAACCACTAAAAACTCCAGATGATGGAGGTTTATGGAAATCACCTGAAAATCGTGGGGTTAATGGAAGTCGTGACATCTTACTAGTCAGAATATCTAAGTTTACTGTTTGCAGTTACTTAAGAACTAAGAGGGTTGAACCCAATCATGAAAAGGATTGGGTTGAATGGGAGCTATACAGATATGAGATATTATCTTGTTCTTAAAAGTTAAAGTTGAAATACAGAAAAATGTTACCCAAAATCAAGCAAAACGCGAACTAAACTCCCTTAAAAACATTCTTATTTTGTATCTTTGGTATTACAATCGTCATAACAACAAGTTAGAACCTTATTCCTTGGAAGATTACAAGTTTTTCACTTTAAAACTTCCTTCAAGTTCACTGAACTTGTTTCAGTATTCAAAATTCTTTGGACTGCGCCACCATAGCCCAGTCTAGTGGGCTCTCCGCTTGGCTTCGGTCTAACTGGGCTTAAAGGTTGGCCACAAAATTTCCGCCCTGTCATGCTGGCCATGCACTTTGGCCAAAAGCCACTCGATGATAATCAGAAGCAGAAACCTTCGACAGAGCACAAAAGTTTTGGACAGCAAAAATAAAAAAATAAAGAAAACGAAAAATCGAATACTGACCAACCGCAAGACAATGTCGTCGATCTGTGGTTAGCGACAGTTCGGATTTGTTCTTGAATGATCGATCATGATAATGAACGTTAAGCTGCTAATGATAATGATGATGATGATAATGATGATTGAGATGAAGATGTAGCCTTAATCTGACCTTCCCAAGAAGCTGAAACAGCAGCATGGACGACATTTTTGATAGTTTTCAGTGCGTGAGTGAATGGAATTCCAATTCCTAGGGTACAGTGAAGGCTGGCCAAGAGGGTTTCTTGGGAAGATGTATTTTTAGTAGGTAAATAAAGATTAATAAAACATATTTTTATAATTTTTTATATATTTATTAATAAGAAGTATATAAGAATCCATGTTAAGGAAAAGTCTTTTGCATTTTAAGTTAAGCTGAGACATTATCTTAGATAAAGGTCTATAATCCACCTTTCTGATCTGCAAATATATATTTTATTTTATCATTATATATGGTAATTAATATTATTATTGCTGTTTTAGTATAAATTATCTGCAAAAATAAGCTCAAAGTGTTTTTATAACCTTTTTGTGTTTTTTAAAAAAAGTTCTCCTGTCCAGAAAAGTTAAGCCGCTATTAAAATAAACTTCCTCTTAAAGTATCTTTTGCCATACCATTTCCTTTACTAGTTTTTGTTAAATCTGCCCCAAAACTAGTCAGATTATTACAAGATTCAAGACATTAATAATCATTTTTTAAAGAGACCACTGTGCTGGCAGTGTGAACCGGAAGCTAGTGCCCAATGCGACTCCATTGGTTTCGATTCGATTTGATTCGCTTCGATTTGATTATGGGTTCGAACATCGCTCTTTTATTTGCTTTTCATATATGAATGTGTGTATTTTTTTTTTCTTTCTGATTTTTTTTTGACTGGGCAACCGCGTTACCTTCGGCGGCGGACTGTCGCCGCTCTGAAGGATAACCGGTAACCGGTTGGCGGTTTTTTTCTTCTTCTTCTTCTTCTGTTTAGTAAATTTGTTGTTTTTGTTTTTTGTTTAGTTGGCGGTACGCCCTGGGTTAACGACCAACTGGCGCAGAAGTGTGGAAGTGCAGGCAGACATGCATGGCAGGCTACAAATTACGCATACGCCGCTTGGTACCGAGCTCAACTAGAGCTGAGATACGGTTCGAGCTAAGATACTGTATCTCGGCGATTGCAAAAGCAAAAGCAAGGCAAAAACAGCTGAAAATCAAAAGCGAAGGCAGCCGAGCAGTCAGTCAGTCAGTCAGTCGGTTGGTCGGTCGGTCGACTAGTCAGACTCACTAAAACTAAACTCACTAAAAGTTGCATGCGTTTGAAATCAGTTTAAGGTGAATTAGATTTTGACACACATACACAGCGACAGCGTTTTGCATAAAATACAAAAATTATGAAATTAGTCGCAGTGGCTTGGGTCGTTCGCTTTTGCAAAGCCAAAAAGCTGCCAAATCGAAAATGACAACGAAATTGGCTTTAATGGCCTCTGCCTCTATTGTCTAGTTCTTGTTGTTGTTGTTGTTGTTGTTGTTCTAATGACAATGCCACGCCTACTGAGGCGTTTGCTATTTGCATGTGATCTTATCTTTGAACTTTGTCTGTAAAAGTTGTGGAGTCTCTTAATATGAGATAAATCCCAAAATGAATAATTTTTGTGGTTTTTCTGTTTTTAATTTGTGGTTCTAGCTCTTAGGTACTTAGTAAAGAAAACTTTAAAAAATATTTATTTGGATTTTTTGTAATGTAAAGTTTTGTTTTATTATTTATTTATACTTTATTTTATTTAAAATTTAAACATATTTATTGTGCTCGAATAAATTTTTAACAATTCTAAGCAAAATAGCCATTTTTGCCCCTAAAAAGTTTCTTTAATTAAACTCTAAAATTACATATAAAAGTTAGCTAAAACTGGAATATATATATATATATTCTTGACAGATCGAAGAACAGACTGACATCCATTTTATCTTTTATATCTGCCCCTCCCTCTCCACGCAAAGATCCCTATTCCTACAAAGTCCAGATCCGTTCACTGCAACAGCTAACCCCACAGATACAAACTTCTTAAACCTTCTTAAGTTCCTAGACAACTCCCGAATCACCTTCCAAAACTTAAGTAAATCACATATTTTGTAAATATAATGTAAATATCAGGCCCTTTTAATATTTTGTATATGCTTAGGTTAAATCTATAAAAGCCATCATCTTATTTTAGCCTAACTGAAGTTCTTAGCTGCCTAGCCAAATGTTAGCTCTTAGTTTTAAACCAATTCTTAGCCTTATATAAAAAATATATTAAATACATATATAGACTTTACATATTTGTTTTAATATTTATATATATTTTAAATATTTTTTTAAAAATTTTGTTAACTATTGTATCTAAGGCTAACAATTAGCTAAAACTAAGAGCTAACAAATGGCTAGGAGCAATAGCAGCTAGGGCCTTCAGCTCGGCTTAAGTTAGAATATGGCTGGTGAATTTTTGGCTTATGAGTATATACATGCTATGGATTACTATTTACATTTTATTTACAAAAACTTTGATTTAGTTAGATTTGGGAGGTGATATGGGAGTAGTTTAGGAATTTGAGGATGTTTAAAGAGTTTGTATCTGTGGGGTTAGCTATGGAGGTGATTGGATCAGGATTATTGAGGAATAAGGATCTTTGCGTGGAAAGGGAGGGATGTCAATCTGAGAGATGTTGCATAATGGGCACACGTTGTTCCTTGTTCTGTCGAGGTAGTGGGCGTTCGTTAAGAATGAGTGTCCTAGTCTGAGGCGGGTGATGATGGTTTGTTCTCTTCTGTTTAAGTTCTTAAGTTATTTACTATTCTTGCTTAATATTAGTTTGTCAAAAAAGTCTTGCGGTATGAAATTGGTTACAATAATGCTAATGATTCAAGTCAAATATGCGCCGTTTTGTTCGATGACGCGTTCCCAACGAGAAGCCAACTTCATAATGCCCTTCTCATAGAAGGTCGCTTTCCTATTGGCAGAAAACTCGGAGCGTGGCGCTTCTTCTTCGATCACCTCTTCACCAGAACGAAAACGTTGATACCATCGTTGTGCGGTGAAAATGGAAACTGTATCGGGTCCATAAACTGCACAAATTTTATAGGCGGCTTGAGATGCATTTTTGCCTTTATTGTAGAAGTACTGTAAAATATGCCGTATTTTCACCTTATTTTGCTCTATGATTGCGATGCTATAACTCAGGAACTACTTAAAAGAAAAAGAAAATCAATCAAACGCGTATTAGCGCGTGAAATGAGCTTTCCAAAAAGATATAGTACGACCTGATGCGACGAATACAAAACAAGAACTACGCCCTTTCAGCGCCAGCTAGCGAAAATACCGCAAGACTTCTTTGACAGCACAATAATAAGTTAGTAAACAAAGTTTAGAGTTCCTTTATTTCGCGTAGAAAAGGGCATTTAACATATACTTTTATACACTCCTTAAATTAATATGGTAATTAATAAAATTAAGCATTATTTTCTGTACTTTTCCAAGGCTTTGCCCTGCCTATTCAATGCCTCTAAAATGCACATTCAAAGAAC